ACCCCCCCCCAACCACACACACACACACACGCACATCTATGACTGGACACCTGGAGCGCGGACAATATAACATAAAGGGCAGCCCGGTGCACTAAGCTCCCGCTATGCGCGGGTCCGAGGAAGGACCGGACCACAAGGGTCTATTGTACGCAGCCTTACCCTGCATTTCTGCAAGAGGCTGTTTCCACGGCTCGAACCCGTGGACAACATAACATAGGGTTACAATATTAGGTAAACCAAGAATAGGAATGGTCTACCTCTAATACCATGTGAAAAAATTTGAACATCCAATCCAAAATCTTAGTGCAATGGGTGGAATAGCCCAGGACTATATAAACCTCTTTAAATACCCTTACACAACCAATGAGGGACAAGTGTATTCTCTAAAACCTTCCCACACATGCAACAAGGTTATTGGGTTTGCACGTGAACTAAAAAAAAGTCTTTTTTCTTTTTAGATTGAAGATGTTTTTTTCTTTTTCTTTTTCTTTTTCTTTTTTTTTTTTTTTTTTTGCCTTTTTAGGGTAGAGAAAGAGGAGGCTCAATCGGAGTGGGCCTGAAGTAGATGAAGACAGATTAGGTTCAACAAGCTAAGTAGTGGACCTAGAGCTATTTCAGTGGAGTGTCTCGACGGGCTAATTTGAGAGACAGAAACCCAGAGCAGGTTTGAGGTGAGAAAGAGAAGCCCGTAGCGATAGGACATGACGAGCGAAAGTGGTTGTGCAAAGGGCTCACAAGAGTTTGAATCCGATACCATGGTAAGAAATGGACCTTGGGTCTAACTCAACCCCAAAAGCTAGCTCATTAGGTAAGGATTGTCCAGGACCATATAACAATTTTATTATGCGGTTTTGCCCCTAGATTTAACTGACTCCTTTTCTAAGAACTACCAAACAGGAGCAACTTCAACCTTTCGAAAGTTGAAAGAGCATAAAAAATATTCTGATCTATAAGTTACCAAAACTGTGTAAATTTTGGTGGCCTCTGGAGGGAAGAAATTTACCAGTTCTATATAATCACGGATTTCCAAGGATAGGAACTTATTGTACTTATCATGCACTACTAACAGGTAATACAATCCAAGTAGAGTCTATTTTATCAGCAATAGAAATTAATTATGTAAAATAAGATTTGATAACTCTTACTTTTATTAGCTCTGGACCACTCAGTTCCTTAGTACCACCATCTATCACATCTAGAAGCTTTATGTGGTCGTCCTGATATTGTTGCAAGTGCAAAAACATACAGCTATCAGATAAATCATCAATCAAAAGTTGTATAAGGACTAAGAAAGCAAGAGCCAGAAAGGCAGTAAAATGAAGAAAAGAAAAGAGAGAAAAAACAACTTGTGAGACTAATCAAAAAGGAGTAAAACTTACAGACATGAGAATTGGAATGACATTAACAGCCATCAGCACAGCATTATATGAAGTCTTCAACGCCTCATCCAGAGTTAATAGATCTTTCTTGAGGAGACCATCAGTGTCAATAACTGCAAGGCCAAATAAACAAACATCACAATTCTGGAACTTAGGCAGACTCGCTGACAATCTTATATTCCTTTTTATATGTGATGATTCAAAAAGCTTCAGCGATCTACATAAGCGTTATATCATGCATTCAGGAAATATTAAATATCGCTTCCAGAATAGCTGGACAATTAATAGAAAAGCTGATAATACCTGCAAAGGCTTTTAATAGCCTGTAATGGCAGCAATGCTGCAGTAGATACGTGATCATTAAGATTTCTAATGGATGAGTATTGTAGTAACAAAGAGCATACGTAAGATCTAAGGTAGTAATAGGCAAAGCTTAACCGACCTATACAGATAGTTGCATGCCTTTGAAGTTTGTCAATCAAATCCGTGACCTGTAAGTAGGGTGAACCATAAAAGTTGTTGGTAGAAGACAAAGCTGGTAACATTTTGAAAGGGTTCCAAAATCAATTTCGAATTAAAAAAAAACAGAAGAGTAAAATGCAATAAACTAGGCCTAAATCCATTTCTAGGTCTATCTTGAAAATAACTATTGATAAATATGACACGTCTATGATATACTTGATCTTATACCTTGTATTAATACGACAATGAGAAAGCTTAGATCAATTCTCCACATTAGATAACATAATGCACGATACATTAAGCACAGAGGTGGGGACAAGAAAAAAAATAGAATCAGCTACTCCTCATTAAGTCACTATAGCAAATCACTACTTCTCTTCATCCAAAACATACTTAAAAATTAGACTGTACTAGAGACCAGAGAGATGATTTGGTTGGTCCAAAAACCTTTATCTCCTTAGATGCTCTTGTGTACTCTATACTACCATATCATATGACCTACTATATAGAACACCATATCATTTATGCCTTCAAGTTTTTGATGCATGACCACATTAAACAACCAACGTTCCCTATATGTTTATCAAAGTCTTGACAGGTATGACATAAAAAAAGGGTGTCATGGCAATCTTCATTAGTTTAGAGTAGCGCAATGTTGCCTAGTCTACAAAAAATTGCCAAATGGCTAGTATTCTTTTTTTTCTTTTGATAAGGTGAAGATTTTATTAAAAACAGTATCAAGCTGATACTGTAAAAATACAGAGATACTGCTGGCTTAAAAACATTAAAATCCTAAGCGGTCTAGCATGTCCAGCATATCATGAAAATTCATAACAACATTTCCATCTTTCCAATAGTACAAATAATGTAAACAACTGTATTTCATGTATTGCAGCTGCTCCTTCTTGCCTTGAAAACGCCTATTATTTCTTTCTTTCCATATCGTCCAAGCTATGCTAAGAGGAATATCTCTCCAAATCTTCTTTAAGGATGCTTCTGGACATACAAGTTCCCGACACTCTAATATATTCCTAAATTTCTTAGGGCTTGCCCAAAGGATGCCAAAGTTAGCCTTGAACATGGACCACACCTGCCCAGTAAATTCACAATGCAAAAAAAGATGGTCCACGGATTCACAAGCTTTCTCACACAAGTAACACCTGCCGCACATTATCCAACCCCTTCTAATCAAATTTTCTTGAGTCAGGCATGCTTCATGTGCTACTAGCCAACCAAAACAGGCCACTTTTGTTGGGACTGTAGTCTTCCAAATCATCTTCCAAGGCCTCTTTTGTGCTTGCACCGGCTGGGTAGCATTTAGTATTTTGTAGAGTGAACTAACAGTAAAAATGTAAAAACAATTCCTGCTTCCTTCCTGAATTAATTTTGCTGTATTTTTTTGCCTAATATCCTTCCAAAAGAAGATTTATTCAGCAGCATGGTTTCCCAAAATAGAAGTATAATACCTCATCATAGCGCCTTCGTCCTTCAAAGCTGAAAGGCTTCAAAATGATGCCAATAACTAGTCCATTTCTGGACTTTAATCTTCTTATAATATCAAGTGCTGGGACATGATCGGTGCCATAAGCTGCACTAGCCACCTAAAGAAGCAAGAAGGAAATTTGGCAACTACATACAAACAAAATAGTCAAAGCAACTGAAAATTAGATGGTCGAAAAGCAAATGATTCTTTTACAGGTACTTTTTGCAAGCTTCAGCAAATAAGACAAGTCAATGAAAATGGTTCAATGACAAGAATTTCCTTCATGTCGTGTCCTAATAGCAATATCACAAATTTTTGGGAAAACAGAAAAGGAAAAGAAAGTGCCAGATAACGAAGGATCTTTTCAAAAATTTCATTTTCCTTTTATGCTAGCAGGGGCATAGTTTTCCAAAAGAGCTTAGCCCACATTGAGATTTTTAACTCCAGACAAATGTTTCACTCGACTATTATCATTACTGAAGCCAAATCTAACTTCTTCTGTTCTTATTTTGCTAAGGTTTAGTTCAAATTACTCTCTCAAATTTCAAACATACTCAAGTCTGAATTATCTACCAAACTATTTGATGAACATTCTCTACTTGAAACCAAAGGTAAATCAGAGGGAAACCAGATTTCTGTATCTCTTCAGCCAAAAAAAACTTCAGGAAAGTATCTCTTAAGGTAGAAATAATCCAATTTTCTTCTTATGAAAGGTTTCGACCCTGGACATGCAGTATTAGTAGAGACACTCAAAAAGCAACTGCATCTGTGTAGGAGCTTATTGGCTGAAACATTGTTTGAAAGGCATTGTGTAGCTTGTGACAGGTAGGCAGGTACTTGGAGTACTGGCTTATCCAAGTGCTTGTCAGCAACTCAAATTGAAGGGTTGACCAGGCTGGATACACCAGTTATAAATTATACCAACATTCATGCAGGTTTAGAAAGGCACTTGTTAACTTATGGAGATAGGAGGAAGTGCAGTGAAGCATATAAGATCAGCTTCTGCTTATGGAGATAGGTTTAAAAAGGCACTGCTAACTCTGCTTAACATGTTCTATGATTTGATAACATCTGTTTCTTGTGTTGCAGCTGCTGGAAAAAATTTACGTTGAGGAAGAACTCAGGGGAAGATTCCTAATATTTTTCTCCAACCTCTTCTCTCTTTCACCTCTTATGTTTCTAATTTGCTTCAATTTTGAACAAATTTCCAGATATGATTTCTTAGACGTTCATTCATATGAAGAAACCTTATGTTGACGCCTAAGCAGTCTACTCTAAACTAGAAAATCTTTTCGGCAAACACATATCATAGTTTTTTTGCTCTAGGGCCATTCTATTACCACAATACTTTAGCCCTCTGTAAGGATGTTCAAGTTACTTCACAAGAAGCAGGAAAAGTGCTAGATATTAAACTGCAGATATATACACAAAAATTATTTAAGGACTGAGCTATCCTTGGTCTGCAGTCTTATTCTTTTTGTGATAAGGTAAAAGTTTTGGTCTGCAATCTTATTCATGATTGTCTCAGCATTCCCTGACTCTTGTCCTCTATTCATTATTGCCTTAGCGAAAAAGCAAGGGAATACATCCCTCTGTTACCCATACAAGTCAATGTTCTCCATAAGATTAACATGAGGTAGTATCTTTACTCAATGGTCACTGGTAATAAAATAAGATCTTAGGCAGAAGAGTTGAGGAATGTACAAACAAGTATAACTGCTTTGGGACAATTTATCGCTGATGGAACCTCCACAATTCTTGAAGAAACATCTGCAAAACACGACAGTGAAGAAAAGCTTATGTTCACAACAGATGGAATGGAAGAGGAGGCAAAAGATAAAAAATATTGACAGATCAGTAGTTGGACAATCTAAGAGATTGATTCATCCTAAAAGATAAGTAGTTGGACAATCTAAGAGATTGATTCATCCTAAAAGATATCAAGAATTTTACAGTTGCATATGGATCCCTTATCATGTATATTAATTTCATCACAAAGAGATCTATTGAGATAAGGAAGATCCTCTTAGGCCTCGTTTAGTGGGATTTTATACCTTAACTGGTGGGAAATTCTCCATAAATATCTAATGTTTATTCAGCATAATCAATAAGAGAAAGTATTCAGTATCTCTTTTTTTTTTCTTTTTTTTGATGAAGTAATTGGTTTCATTACTGGCATCAAGAAGATGCATAAATTACAAAAGTGTAGTAATTGTTAGCTCCTTACAAATGTTTATACTAGTACTAGGGAGCTAACAAAATTCAAAAAACTATCAGGGGAGTCTATAGGGGATAGGTAAGCCCAGCTATACAAATACATGAGGCATCTAGCCTTGAGTTTGTGGGGAGAAGTTGATACTCCATCAAAACACCTGTTGTTCCTCTCATTCCAAATGCTCCAAAAAATAGCTGCAGGTATCATCTTCCATACTTTCCTGATGGTGCTATCAACTTTCCAGTAACTCCAAGACTCAAAAGCATCCCTGATATTATGTGGCATGACCCATCTAAGTCCAAAGAGTGATATAAACATACTCCATAAATCTGTTGCAACAGGGCATTGAAGAAAAAGATGGTTGTGATTTTCTGCCTCCCTCTGGCACATGTAGCATCTATTCACAATCTGAAAATTCCTCTTGGCTAAGTTGTCTTGTGTCAGACAAGCCTCATAATGTGCAGTCCAGTTGAAGCAGATGACTTTGGGTGGCAACTTGATTTTCCATATTAGCTTCCAAGGCCAATGGTTAGTTATTACATTGTGAGTTCCTGCTAGCTTGTAGGCTGCTTTGACCGAGTACTTTCCTGCATCTGCACTACCCCATTTGAACTGGTCAGGTACTAGAGTGTTGCTTGAGAAATTGTTGAGTGAGGAAAGGAGTCTGAGCAGATCCTCATATTCCCAATCTTGCAAATTCCTTCTAAATGTTATGTTCCATGAGTTGCCTTCTCTGCACTGATGAACTGTTGAGTCTGGATCGCTAACCATTTGAAAGAGAGCAGGGTAGTCATTCCTTAGGGTGGTGTTGCCTAGCCATTTTTCCTTCCAGAATTTTATTTGATGTCCATCTCCAACTGCGAAGTGCTGGTTTTGTGAGAATTCCTGCCAGAGTTTGCAGATGCTCTTCCAAACTCCAACTCCATGTGGTGCTCTAGATAGCTTGGTGCACCAGTGGCTTTGGGTTCCATGCTTGGCCTTGACAACTTTTTTCCATAGGCTCTGCTCCTCCTGTTTATATCTCCAAAGCCATTTCATCAATAAGCATTTGTTGTGCAAAGCTAAATCCCTGACCCCTAGTCCACCTTGGTGCTTTGGTAAGATAACTTTAGATCACTTTACTAGGTGAAACTTGTGACCATCTTTAGTCCCTTCCCATAGAAAGTTCCTTCTGATCTTGTCAAGCTGCTTCAGGACCTTACTAGGCATTGGAAAGAGTGACATCTAATAGGTTGGGATGTTGTCTAGGACACTACTGATTAGAGTTAGTCTACCACCCATAGACAAATACTGCAGCTGCCAAGAAGCAAGTTTCTTTTCAAATTTCTCAATGACCCCACTCTATATAGCTTCTGACCTGAACTTTGCCCCTAGTGGAAGTCCCAGGTAAGAAGTTGGTAAACATCCAGTCTTGCAGCCTAAAATTCCAGCCAAGTCTTCTAAATTATGCACCTCATTAACAGGGTAGATTACACTTTTGAGCATGTTAATGTGAAGACCTGAAATAGCTTCAAATATAAGAAGGGTTAGATTTAGATAGAGCACTTGACTTCTGTCTGCCCCACAGAAAATCAAAGTGTCATCTGCATAGAACAGATGGGAAATATTGACCGTGCTTCCTCTCCCAACATCAAAACCTTTCAACCATTGCAGCTGCTTAGCTTTATCCAACATCCTACTAAATCCTTCCATTGCTAATATGAATAGGAATGGTGAGAGTGGGTCTCCTGTCTCAATCCCCTCTGTGGAGAGAAAAAACCAACTGGGCTCCTATTGATTAGAATGGAGTACTTCACAGTGGAGATATTGAACTTGATCCATTTTAACCATCTTTCCCCAAATCCCATTTGCCTGAGAATGGAAATGAGGTAGGACCAGTTAAGTTGATCAAAGGCTTTTTCTATGTCCAGCTTACATAGAATCCCTGCATCCCCTTGCTTTAACTGCCAATCAAGGACCTCGTTTGCTATCAACGAAGCATCTGTAATTTGCCTTCCTTGGATGAATGCATTTTGTTGATTTGAGACCAATTTTCCCATTACTTTCTTCAACCTTTCAGCTAGGACTTTAGCTATGATCTTGTACACACTGCCAATTAGACTAATTGGTCTATAGTCCCTTAGCTCCATTGCCCCTTTATTTTTAGGAATAAGCGCAATGAAGGATGCATTACATGACCTAACCATCCAACAATGCTGGTGATAGTAACTCATAGCTGAAAGTATGTCATGTTTAATGAACTCCCATGAGTGCTGGTAGAAAGCCATTGTGTACCCGTCAGGCCCTGGTGCTTTGTCAGGAGCACTGGAGTTAATAACTGCAAGAACCTCCTCCTCATTGAAAGATGCCTCCAGCCCCTCCTTTTCTTCTTCTGTAATGGTTGCAATTCCTTCAAAATTAGCAGATGGCCTCCAACTTTCCTGCTCAGTGTACAAGTTTTCAAAAAAATCCAGCGTCTCTAGCTTTATCTGCTCCTTATCTTCTACGATCTCATCCCTGACCATGAGTTTGTCTATGCAATTGCTTCTTCTATGACAGTTGGCAATCTTCTGGAAGTACTTGGTGTTTCTGTCCCCTTCCTTAAGCCAAAGACACCTTGATTTCTGCCTCCAAGAAATTTCTTCTGCTTTGGCTAACTGTTGTAGTTCTATTCTTATACTAACGATTTGGTTAGCCTCAGATAAAGTCAATTGCCTGTCTTCTGCAGCCTGTTCTAGTGCCATGAGTTCCTCTAGTGCCCTGTTTTTCCTGGTTTCCACCTTCCCAAACTCTTCCGTGTTCCAGGTAGTGATATCCTTCTTTAGGCTTTTTAGCTTTTGCATAAGGATAAAGTCAGCACTACCGGTGAATGTGTAATTCTGCCACCAGCTCTTTAGTTTGCCTAGAAATCCTTCTGATTGAAGCCACATGTTTTCAAACTTAAAGAACGAAGGAGTTGCATCCCAGTCACCACTCTCCAAAATAATTGGTCTATGATCTGAAATTACCTTAGGCAAGGCAATCTGTCTCACAGCATTAAAAGAGTCATTCCAATCATTGGAGATAAGGAACCTGTCAATTCTCGAAGCCTGCAAACAATTGTCTCCTTTAGACCAGGTATATTGAGCCCCCTGTAAAGGTAAATCAATAACATCTAGGTCCTGAATAACATCAGAGAACAACTTCATTGCCTTTGATCTTCTAGTACAATTCAGCCTCTCACTCTCAAACCTAACAACATTGAAGTCACCTCCCACTACCCAGTGATCTTCCCAAAGTCCCCTTATTCCTGCAATCTCACTCCACATTACTTCTCTCTCTGGATTGTTGTGTGGTCCATAGATTCCTGTAAAGCACCATCTGAACACTTCTGTGGTGCTTTCTAACATACAGGAGATGGAATAAGACCCCCGGTGTGCATCTAATTTGACCCACTTTCTTTTGTCCCAAATCACCACTATCCCTCCCCTGGTACCACTAGCTTTTAACTCCACCCAATCAGCCCATGTATTCCCCCATAATTGTTGAATCATTCTAGTAGAGCAATCTTCTACCTTAGTCTCCTGCAAACACAAAATATCCACCCTCCACTTCTGAACGAGAGATTTAATAGTGCTTCTTTTCCAATCCTCATTCAAACCCCGCACATTCCAACTCAAGATTTTTAGCTTCATCCCAAACATGAATGGTATTGCCTACCCCTCAACCCCTTAACCTGCTGCCCTCTTCTGTCATAATTAATCCCACATGCTAATCTTTTCCTTTCCCCCTCTCCTCTATTCCTCTTCTCCTTCCTTGCCTTTTGTTTTGATTCCTATTGTTGGAGTCTTCGTTGCTCCATCCTTAGAATTATATTCAGAAGATCATGCTCGAGCCCTGTCGCATTGACCCCAAAGGCCTTGCATGCCTTGACCATGGTGAGTTTGGTCCATTTTGAAGTCTCGATTAAGGATGGAGTATCAATTAGTTGTGCGTTAGGACCTCCCTCATACCATGTCAGTGGAAGAGCTTCACATACTGCCTGAGAAGAAAAGTCTGTGTCTGAGCTAGTTGCTGGAACCAAATCCATTGTTGGTGAGTGTATGCGAAGTGGCCTGTGGACTCTCTCTTCTGGGATCCCTTCATCATCTGCGTCTGAAGGGGAGTTTTCTCAACTCTGGTTTGCCAAAGCCATGGGGCAAGATTGTGTCGTGTTTTGCTCCTTCGAGAATAATGAGGGTTCAGCTGCCAGTTCTTTTAATTTTAAAGCATTTGGGTCGGGTTTAAGCCCAGTTACCCTCCATACTATTTTCTCATTAAAAAGCTTTGACTCCTTTGACTTCCTTGATGTGGTCTTCTTATTAATTGGGCCTTTTTTGTAATATTCCTGATCTGCTCCTCGGCCCAAGTTTTGTGATGGATTGGAAAGCCCTTTACCCTTTTTATCAGAGACCAATATACCTGGGTGGTCCTTTACTCACTGGTTTAACAAATGAACCAGCATTCAAATTAAAGCTGCCAACCTGTCCTTCTGCATGTGAGACTGTGCCTGATGCAAGGTTCCTGCCAATCTGTCCTTCTACATGTGATACTGTGCCTGATGCAAGGTTCGAGGTACCCACTCCTGCCATCTTCTCCCTTGCTTCATCAGAAAAGCATTTTCCGGCGGGTCTGATTTTTGTATGAGCATCCTCTAGTAATGAGATTTCAAAGTCCAGTCTTTCGTAATCAACTCCAGATTTCTTGGTAATTCTTCTCTTTGATTAACCACACAGATACGGGCCCAAAAAAAGTGGACTCTATGTTTAGTGTCATCGTCAATATCGACAACGCCTCCACACTTGTCTCCGATGAACTTGAAAGTGCCTGCCGTCCATGCGTGGATAGGAATTCCAAAAGCTTTCACCCATCGATGCTCCGATTTTGCAGATTTCATATCTGCTCCGGCCACCGGAGACCACCATTTCAAGGTCAATCTTCTTCCATTCCAGAACCAATCACCAGCTTTGACTCTGTTAGCTTCGAATCTGGAAGGGAACTCAAAAAGGAACTGGTTGTGCTCGATGGAAGTGATCTTGAGACCCGCTTTGACTTGCCATCTGCTTGTGAACCATTTCTGAATCACTTCTGCCTTTGGGCTCAAGCTAAACGGGTCATTGAACTGACCTATGAGACATTTTGAAAGGAAGTTTTCATTTCCCAGCTCTTCCTGGAGTGCTCCCTGCCCAGCATCGGTATTAGTTGGCCAATGTGATATATTGGCAGCTTCCTTGTAAGACCTTGATTGATCAGCATAGAGATGAAATCTTGGGTCTACATATGTTCCCAGATAACCTTGTATCATCCCTGCTATGTCCCCCCATCCTTTATTGTAATTGCCTTCCGGGATAATGATTGCAGATTTGTTAGCCCCTATGATAGCTTCAATTCTAACGAACCGACCATAACTGTTAAAATTTTGGACCACCCGAAAAGTGTATGTTTGTACCTTCCTGCCCCATCTTTTGCAGCTGTTGCCGGTCTGAAGAGAAGCTTGGATCAAAGCTTCGCACACCCATCGGAGGTTGCTGTCATCTATTTTAATCTTGCTTGAAAATCTTCTGCTACGTTCAGTAAAAATATACCATCCCTTAGCTTCCTCTTTGATACTAATTAATTCAAAAGTTTTGCCACTAGAATAGAAAGTGAGCCCTCGATCCATAGTTTGGCAAATTTAGGAAAGACATCGTCGGAGTTTAGAGATAGGGTGGGAGAGAGAGTGATCCTGGCACATTTCCCAATAAAGAGCATTTTTCAGTACTAAACCCAATGCACTCAACTCCTGCACTATTACTGATTCTAGTATCTCTTTTCTTACTTACTGCAAATGACACTTACGATTGCACAGCTAGTTGATTTCTGGAAAAACCATCCAGTTCGGATGCAAAAGCTTAACCAGTATACGCGTTATATCACTCTCCTGGATTGAGAAATTTCAAGTGAAAACACTGATCAATATAAGCTAACTGAATGATGCCCAACTAACAAGCAATGTTGGTTAATACAGAAAGTCTATTTTAAATTTAAGGATCTTCATAGGGGTGCCAATTTTCACCTAAATATAGTAACCTACCCTCTACCGGAAACAGCCTCTCCACCTGCACAAGGTAGGAGTAAGGTTGCGTACACACTACCCTTCCCAGATCCCGATTTGTGAGATTATACTGGGTTTGTTGTTGTTGTTGTTGCCAAACGTCCAAGTTTAAATAAGTTGGACAAATATTAGATCCATTCACCATTACTTTAGGCTATGCCCGAATCAACCCGTTTCAAACACTGGGTATTTTGGGTCAAGTTGGATGACCAAATCAACAATCGTTGATACAAGAATTCTGCGTTCAAAGTCTTCCAACTGAAAATCTCTGTTTCTCGTCTTGCTTCAGCAGTGTCATGTTGCTGCTGCTACAGCCAAGTTGGATGACCAAATCAACAATCGTTGATACAAGAATTCTGCGTTCAAAGTCTTCCAACTGAAAATCTCTGTTTCTCGTCTTGCTTCAGCAGTGTTATGTTGCTGCTGCTACAGCCAAGGTGGGTCCTATGCTGCCTTTTTCCGCCCTGAGAGCGACAGGAATATATTTTGGCTGTGAAACTAACTTGTAGTCCATATTTTGTTACTTGAAACAAAGTAACTTGTGGTCCACGGTCCATACAGATTTGCACTTGATGGAATCTAGGATTTTCCCGTTGTGAACATCCATTAATCAGGGCTTCTGTTAATTTGGCATCGCTGCCTGGTGTTTGGTTTTCCTTTCTTTTTCTACTTTAAGAGCTGATACGCTGTTGATTGAATTTTGCTGTTATACCCAATTTTAATGGATACAACTGAAGCTTTAAGTTGGACGAAAGATTGGTTTAATAATTGCTCGAAGTGATTTGTATTTGTTATTTTTTATAAGGTATTTTATAAATGTTTAGTAACAAGAAGGTAGTACAACAGTAGAAAGGGGGAGACCAAGTTCACATATAGACAGTTACAGCATCATCTCCTCCAAAAATTCCAAAAGAAAGCTAAGTTTTCCAGCATGTTATTCTTGAACCATGTCACCATCAGTACAAAGATACTGTAAGCACCTATACTTTATAAAAGTAGACTGAAGTTTCTTTCCATCAAAAGTAGACTAAACCTTTAAGCACCTATACTTTGTAACTTTGTAATGTGTTGCATTCAACTTAAAAGTGTATTTAGTTGTTAATTCTCTCATTGCATGGGATATTTATTAACTCAGGAGAGAATAAAATCTTCTAGTAGAAACCAAACAAAATAATGTATAGTAAAAAATGGACAAAAAAGGAGGAAAAAACTCGAGGTTAGGTTAATTTGGATGGGTTTACTGCATTATTTGACTCATCTTGACCCAAACTACCTTTGGAAAATCTCATTCATTAATTCAACCCATTTTACCCGTCCAACTTTGACCCAACCCGCCCATTTGATACCTCTATTCTTAAAAGTGAAGCTATAAAAGTATATGTATCTAAAACCTTAATACAATAGGCAAGGTCACCTAAGACCTTTATAAACTCTTCTGTAAGCTCTTAAACAACCTATGTGGGACAACTATATAACTCAATACCTTCCTACACGTGTAACGAGATTTTGGAGTTCACATATTTGGGTTCACATGTTACTTTAATTCGGACTTACAAGTGTGCAAACGAGCTTACTAGAATTTAGTTCTAATACCATGTGGAAGACCTTGAGCATCCAACCCAAAACTTTGAGGCAAGACTTGTATAAACCACTTTGGAAACTGTTCTGCAAAGTTTCAAAACAAGTATATAACTCGACCGGAGCAGTAGGGTCGTGACTTGTAATTTCCTTCTTTCAAGACACAAGAACTGTTGTGACATAAAACTACCACCTAACCCCGTTCAACTTCCAAACCAATAGGACTGAAAATAGTTACTACTCCCTCCGTTCCAATTTATGTGAACTGGTTTGACTGGGCACGGAATTTAAGAAAAAATAAAGACTTTTAGAATTTGTGGTCCTAAACAAGTCAAAAAGGGGTCTAGAGTATTTGTGTGGTTATAAATGCTTCTCTTTAAGGGTAAAGTTGGAAGTTTAAGCTAAATTGTTTTCAAATTTAGAAAGAGGTCATTCTTTTTGGAACGGACCAAAAAGGAAATAGGTTCACATAAACTGGAATAGAGGGAGTACTACTTTAAGTAAGAAGATGAAAGACGGAAAGAAGGAGAAGAAAGAGGGGAAAAAAGGAAAGAAAACAAAACATTTCACCTTCTGTAGGCAATTTCTCTTGTAATAGCACCTTTTGTGAGTCTTTCATGAGAATATTCCTGCACATGCAATCGCAAGAATGTTGGTGACATTTTCAGAAATTAATATTGCATGATTATGTTTCTGCAAGTAGCTTTGACAACGTATTATGTTCTAGGACAAAAATGAAGCCAAAACGCAGATTATTGAAGCATCAGAAGATAAGATTCATCTAAATTAGGGAAAAAGGAAAAAAATTAAGATGAAAGATAATTGAAGCATCAGAAGATACGAATCATCTAATTTCACGAGAAGGGAAAAAATAAAGATGAGATATCAGCCATTCCCACGCTTCAGTTCCAGATCCTTATTCTATGTATTCCTCTCCTACTTGATCAATAGCTTCATAGCAAGAAGTATCCAACTTATATCAATGGTCTAAACTAAATTCTTTTGCTCTCCTCATTCAACAAAGACTCCTAAATATTCCCAAATTCTCTTGACTCCTAACTTATCCATATGATAGCTGCCCCAAAGCTTCAATTATTATTAATTTGACTTAGGTATTAAGAGAACCTTCTTATTCCACTTGTACCTTTGGTGTCAGGAGAAAATAGCTTGTTGTACATATAGTTCCAAACTTGTGACGTCCTGTGGATAGTTCAAATTGAGCTATATTATAGACACTTTTTACACCGATATTAGTGCAAGCCTTTCATCAACCGATAATGTCCTCATCATTTCTCATGGAAGGAAGTTATCTCGAAAGACCTACAATTCCTCGGAATCAATGCAAACTTAGCTAAAGATAGGACACAATGGAAGAAAAAGATCCATATAGGTGATACGACTAGTTGGAAATATTAAACTTGTTGCAGAACTTCTTATATTATTATTATTACTATACTATATATATATATATATATATATATATATATATATATATATATATATATATATATTCCCCTTATTTCAACAATTTGCTACTCATCACAATGGCTGGATGCTTAGAAAAGACAACAATGTTACTTATCCAAGTCCTCTTTTTCTGTAAGAAAAAATAGGAAAGCAAAAGCCAAGTACTAATATAGTGTTGGACAGAACAAAGAGCATCCTCCCATTTAAGAAAACTCTTCAATTTGGTATCTACCAATGAAATCTATCATAGCATCCTCTTAATTACACCGGAGAGCTGACATGTATGTTTCAAGAATCAAAATTCATTTTCTCTCTGCCCATCTCTGTAACTCCAAACCGATGGGAGGAATGGAACCTTCTTCAAAACTGCCAATCAGGCAACAGTGGACAATCTCCACCCTACTCTTAAGAGAGCAATCTTCAACTTTGAATTGACTGAAATCCAAATTCTTTTCATCTAACACTCTGACTTCATCACTTGGTCAAGGGTTGATATGAGCTACCCGCATAAAACTACCCTTATTGTTGCTAACCATACTATCCCTTATAAATCTTTGAAGCAATCTCCATCCAACCTTCATTCTACCTGATTTCTGGCATCATGATGGATGATCTACCATCCCCTTTTATAGCTGCCTCTCATATATGTGGCAGACAAGTTGAAATTCTCGAAAAAATGGTATAGGTATAACTGGCTCTTGTGCTTCCAGCTCTTACTCACCTTACCTTTAAGATCTGAAGCAATCTTCATGCGGTGACATACGGCAAGCGCATTATTCCTGTCTAAGACGATTATACTCTCAAATTTCATTCTTCTTTCCACAATCTCAAACAAACTTTCACTCAACTCCACCAACTCACTTTTACTCCCGGCACAAATAGCAAGTTTCTTCCCATATTTCTCCCCATATATATCAAGTCAACCTCAATCCAATCACCTTTCTAGTCGATGTAAACAAGGCTGAAGTTACTCAGTTATTGAATTAGATTAACTCAATAAAGGGTTGATCGGAAAATAGACATTACGAACGAGAAAGTTTTACAAATTGAAACTGAGGATGTTTATCGAACTGAATACTGATTACCGGAAAAAAGGGATTTAAAAAAGGCTGCTCTTTCTCTTCTTCTTTTTCGTACCTGACTTGCTAGTTTGTCATTTAAATTATGTTGTTCATGCTCCCTTGTAGAGAAAGGCTTGTTTAATCCAACTTTCAGACTGCTAAAATAGTTTCTTAGGACAATGCATTCCACAAATCAAGCTCCACATGTGTATGCTTATAAATGAACATTGTTAATATTTTCAGTTATCTTTCCAACAATCTATTATTCATCACAATGGCTGGATGATTGGAAAACGCAGCACCGTTACTTTTTCTAGTCTTCTTTTTTTAAGAAAAAACCTAAGTACAAAGATAGTGCTGCACAACACAAAAGAGCATCCTCCCCTTTAGAAAACTCTTCAGTTTGGTATCAAGCTAATGAAATCTATAATAGCATACATGTGACAAATTACATCAAGGAGCTAAGACATTTATTTATCAAGAATCAAAATTCCATAAATTATTCAACTTTTAAATTTTGATTGGATATTTCTCCATCAAACTAACCTTTCAACCATTTTTTCAATATTTACTACCAGAATCACTAATAAAAGTCAAATTAACATGATAAACGCGAAAGCACAGTCATCAAACAAACAAAAAAATCAGAAAATATACCAAAATCTTAAAGCCGGGGAAAGACAAGGTGAAGCCAAGCAGAAGGCAAGCAGAGCGTCTTTCCTGCTTCCAATCCCAAATACCTCCACAAACTCAGTCTCTTCCCACACATTTTTTAACCCTTCTCCCTGCATATCATTTTCACGATTCCTTTCATAATTGTTACTGTCTCTGCTGTCGAAATTCGAGTTCGTTTCCGCTCGCATAGGCTCGGGGCTGCATTTCAACTTGATTCTAATTCTCTGGTGTGGAAAAGAACGAGAATTGAAGGGATTTGTCGGAGAAAGAGCACACAGTGAACCGCGTGAAAATGCAGAAAATCGCACTGAAATCGGAAGGAGAAGGTCCATGGTAGTAGCAGAGAGAGATAGGAAGGTGGAATATTTTACTTTATAGCACGGTTTCCTGCGGGTGCAGCAGCGAGACCATTGCAAAGCTCAGGGAGTTCTTGAGAATGCGCCTCACTCTTTTTTCATGAAATGGGAAATAGGAGCTCGTAAAAGATCTAGAGGCACATCAGAGGGAAGGGTGGCCCCCAAACTATTAATAAATACAATATCCTCCTTTAACTTTATTTTATTGCCATTTGGTCCTTGACATTTATTTCTGTTTTAGTTCCGTTTTGAAAGAGAGAGAATCATCTGACCCTAGGGGCGGGCCTAGGTTAGGTAGGGGTCACAGGGACCTGTTAACTTTGGCAAAGTCACTATATATATATTTTTTATATACTAGTATTTATGAACGTCCATTGCACGTTAATAATGGCACGTGATAATTTAAATATTTATTTATATGAAGGAATAATAAAATTTAATTAATGAGAGAAATTTTATGTTTAATAACACAACAATCATCAAAATATCGAAAAATATTATTACATTAGTATAATACATGAATTTAAAATAAAACAACATCATCAAAACTACAAATAATCAATTTTCTCATGTTAGTTAGATAATTATGTATTATAGTTTAAAAGTATTTAATGTTATGACATCTTAACGAATACTTCTTTGTGGATAATTTTTTTTTCCGTATATGTTTCCTCCTAATGTTTTGGTTGCTCTGCCTTAACCAGAACTCTTGTTGCCAATCTTGATATCCCTCTTAAAAGTGCAACATACTGTTGTTCGTGCAAGAAACATAAGCGAAATAGGAAAGGGGCCGAGCTGACTGATGAGTGCCTGCGGTAAATATAGTCCAATATTTAGGATGTTTGTCCTTCTGCTTTATTTATTATATTTACAAAACATAAACATACTGAAAATTATTTTCACACAAATTTAAAAGGATATTTCTTAGGTTCGGAAGACAAAAGTTGAATTCAGTGATAAGAATATACTTAAAAGCACATTGACCAGTATCATAATTTTTGCATGTATGACGTTATTGTCAAAACTTCTATATACCATCCGTGTGCTATTACATAAGTTATTCGGCGTATCTAAGTTTTTCAGTAGCATGATCGGCATATTTTTCTTCAAAATTAACCTTTATACAATGGAAGATCAATTTTTAATTTTTGACTTAGTCTATTATATATATATATATATATATATATATATATGGTGACACTAACATACGTAAGAAATAATGAACTTGACAACAAACATGTAC